AGCGTTAGTTAGATCTAGCGCATACTAGATATACTGTACGTCTGTGTCACACAAGCTACTTCAAGCTTCTGAATGCGTTTACTTGTGTGAGACTCACGTATGTAGGTGTTGACAGGGTCTGCAACAGTCACTAGAGAGCAGTTGACCACTGACAGGTTGTTCATATTTTTCATCCATAGAGAGTAGTTTCCATGCTCCCCAAAGTGGAATGGAACCCTGGGAATTAAAGATGATAAGTAAACCGGGCAGCAAACCAGCCAGACAGATCAACACGCAATATATGTGCATAGTCACTGATCTTTAATTTTATATATGAACATTGTCATTCAACATTTTTGTGACAATATAACCAGCTGACACGGCACCTTGTCAAAATGTGCTCGAGAATGTAAATTATGTCTACTGAAATCTTGAGTTTTACAGTCTGATTTTTTATAAAAATGTTTTCCCCTCATAAGCTGGTTGGTCAGGCAATGAAATGATTTCCTTTTAATGATGTGCTGCAGTATCTGAACTGTGAAGTGAAACTGTGTGGGACTGTGAAGACCTTTAAATGCTGCACTGATTCACTAATTTGTGTTCAGCCCAGTTGTATTGCCATGTTTATGAGTATGTACTGCCAGTGATGGCCTTGTTTTCAAATATTCTTCAATTTTAAGTCCCACTCAAATGTTTGTTTTAGGTACATATAAAATGAAGAGCTGCATTTGCAAATGAGATTTAGGTCAGACAGTTCCCAGTGGTTGACAAATAAACTGTGAACACTTTCACAATGAATCTGAGCAAAGTTTGTACTGTTCTTATATAGGCCCAGTGTTAATGGACACAAACCATAACTGCATTTTTTAACTTACTTGCAGAGCTCCTGGCTGACAGGAGTGCTTTTCAGTTTTAGTGTGATTTCATGCTGTGTGCTCACACCGACATCTATTGAACTGGGATGGCCAGGACTGGATGCTGCTGGTACCACTCCGAGCTGCTGGTACAAACACTGGTACACAAAGAAACAAGGGTTCAGATCAGAACATCATAATCCTGCTCATGTGAAATTGGTCATATTTGCAGAGAACAGAACATTTGGTGTGTATGCATCTACCTGATAGCAGTGCTCTGACACCCAGGACACCATCACATCAGTGTCTAGCTCATTGTTGACTTTCAGAAATGCCTCATCCATCTTCAGGACTTTGAGTTTATACTGAAGAAAGCCAGCTGGTGTAAACGTAGCAGAGGACATTGCGCAATTCAGTCAAAATTCATTAGCAAGTCCATTTGCAGGTTAAAAACAGAGAATACATGCAAAAAAGAGGAAACCGTCTACACGGTTACTGTAGCTGACACACCCCGTGAAGCCACTGTTTATTGAACAGACGTTATGAACATTATCCTATTTATCAGAAACTCATCACAAGTGTTTTTATTTGCAATGGTTATTATCTGAACCAAGGGCACAAGCGTAAAATAATACAAGCCTTCCTGAGTACAGGTTGAAAGATATTGTACAATAGGAAATAACGCGAAGGGTGTGAAGGCTTTACAGCCGTGCAACTGGCTTTTGTAACTTACCTCAAAGCTATTGTTATGGACGAAAAACGTAATTCTTTACCAAAGTGTGTAGTAGCTCAGTGGATCGTTTGATGGAAAAACTGCTAACCTAACTGCAAGCTACAGCCAGACAGCTATTATTATTACTGCTTTTGAGACAAAAGCACGTGAGAGAGATGAAGCTGTTGTCCTTAGTCACATGCTTAATTAATTCGTGAAGTAACCAAAAGGGAAGTTCAAACAACTAGAGGCCTTGCTTGTACTGTCAAGCGTTTTCTGCGATAGGTGCTAATCTACAGTTAGTTAGCCCCAAGCTAACAGGTCTTAAGGCTTCATAGTCAAATACAATACAACATTTCTCTCGTGGTAAATCTTAAGTTGGTCGAAGAAAGCTACCTTCACGGTGTCGCAAAGGAATTTAAACAATGATGTAAAATTTATCAGATTTAGGTCGCTGACCTATAGCTACTTCAGTACTACCCTGCTATACATCAATGTTTTTCACTTGTCAACAGTCCTGGGTACTCACAGGTAACAGTAGCACTAGATATTTCAGCTGTCAGTGGTACCGCACAAAGGGCCACAATCAAAGCAAAGGCAGCAATGGAAAACATTGATGTTTCTGGTTGTGCCATTTCTTTCTGACTAGTCTGTTTCACCCATACGACTGAAGATATGTCTTTTGACTTTTTCTTTAGTTTCTTTTTTGCCATAACTAATCTATTCCGCTTCCGACTCTCCCTTGTTTTGACATTGTAGTGGGAGCGAGAAGGGACAAAATACATTATAAACACTACCTGTTTGTTGCCCTCACTGGATCACCACTTATTAACTGATACTAGGACACTGAAGCCTTATAAGCCTAGCTGTTTGGTAAATGTTTAATTAGTCTTTAATTTTTGGCTGAGCCACCGTAGCAACTTATAGCGGGCATCTAATGTCACATAATTTCCATAGCAGTACGCTGCCTTGTTAGCACTGCATACGTTACCCCGCAACTCGTTCATGACGATGGATACACACCACTAAATTCACCATAAGCTGTGGAATGCC